CAAATTGTTCTGTAAATGGGGTACTTTCTACTCATTTTCATCACACTTGTACTGTTAGACTATTTAATGTTTGCTATTCTAGTAAGTATGACATGATATTTCATAGTCATTTTAATATGCCTGTCCCAGATGACCACTGAAGGTAAACATCTTTTCATGTGTTGACTATCATAGTTCCCTCTTCTGCAAAATACCTGTTCAGTCATTCCACTTTCTGAAACACCGTGAAAAGATATTTATTGCGTGGATGATATGAATGCACTGGTAGTTCAAGGATCTGAAAAGTAAGGTTGGGTTTATTAAGAGTTTACATAATAATAGTGCATTCCGAAATACCAGAGTACTGCATCTCAAGCTGAGATTCACAGCAGCATCACAATTCTGCTGGTGAAACGAATGTTTATTACAGGTTACATGTTCCTGTTGGTTAATGGATGTTTTAAATTCTGTGCAAATTATACCACAGCATATGATTCATGATCCTGAGGAAAACGAAGGAGCCGGAGTCTCTGACTTAGAGCAAAGAAGTAGGATCCATTTCCACTTTATGTCTAAACGGATCAAGAAACAAAGAATTGTATTCAAACCTTCCTCCAAACAGTCTGGCAAATAAGCACACACAAACACAAACACAAAATAGTGATAATGGCGTCAACTTTGAATCACAATTGGAAAATAGAAATGGTAATAAAGTAAATAGAATTATTCATATTTAAATACCACAAATAACTCTTACCCAAAGGAGGGCATGTATATTTGAGTGGGTAAGAATTTTTCTAACTGCAAAATTATAAATCTTATTGCTTGTTCACAGGACAACCAGTTTTACAGAAGGCAATTTTTCTCCTCTAGCTTTCTTCTTAGGTACTGTAAAACCAAGTATCACTATTATCAGGTCACTGGCATCTTATCATGCTGACGAGAAATCTACAAAATCTGCATTTATTCTGTATGTATCTGAAAGTTGACCACTATGGAAATTCCAAAGATTGTGTTTGCAAGGCAGGTGAAGGTAGGTCTCCTAGGCAAAGGAAACGATATTGAGACGTTTGAGGAGCTACCTGATGATATCTATAATCCAAGAAAACAGTTAACCTAAAGACCTTTAGAGTTGGCTTGTAATGTGGTTTTGTCCTCTTAGTTTGAACTTGGATGTGTTTGAAGGGAGTTAATATCATTTTAGAAAAATAATGATCCTAGAAGGAAGAAAACAAAAGAATCTGTACGGTTTCCATCTCTGTCCCTCTAGTTTTGTGTTTCTCAGCTGGAGTTGGTCATCACCAAACCACAGATGCAGATAAGGCTCCTGCTGAGGCAGCCCCCTCTCCCTGGTGGTCCCTCTCCCTGGCAGTCCCATCTACAATGTGCAGGACTCCCCCTCTCTGGCAGGGCTGCTATACCATTGGTCTGTACACTCACTGGGCACTGGTAGACAAGTGCTTTGGTTTTAAAAAGCAAACATAAAGCTCCTTCCATTCAAGCCAACCAACTCTGAAAAAGGCTTCTTACTTCTTCCTGTTAGAGGAAGCAACCCCCAGAAGAATGATGAAAGCATCGTGTTACAACTGTGTGATGGGACGCTCCAGTACTCACAGTCTGCAGGCCAGCTCCCCTAGTCTAAATCATCTCCAACAACAGACTTGATAGAGCAGCCTTCGGGGAACTCCACTCTCATATCCAGGAGAGCTTTGGGTGACCATAGGACCATTTGGATTATGTATCTCAATGGGGTAGTTGAGTCCTCACAAACGGGTAACAGCTGTGAAGAATTCACTTCTGCTTGGACCTGGGCATCTACTCTTTTGGGATCTGCACAGCTACAGGGCACCTCCTCAGCCCACACCTACAAGTAAAGTCAGTCACTCATCCCCAACACTCTAAGAGCTAGTTCTTCTATGGTGAATACTGACCACACATCAGGCAGGGCTCAGTGAACAGTCATGGTCATGGGCTTAGACCTCTTTGGTACCAAACTCTAACCAACTGGGTCAACCATAACAAAAAGTAAATGATGGAAATTTAACAGGTCCCGAACCCAGAACGGTGGTCTTTTTAGTGCCACACTCCACTCAAGACAAACTTATTCAAGGTCAGTGGATACCTGGCTAGGCAGGTGAGAACATAATGATACAGGAGACAGAGTGTAGGTGAGATTACTCAGAGAGGGAGTTATGTTCCTGAAATTCTTGCTTAGAATAGGAAAAGAACTTTCTCAAAGAGCAAGTATCATAAATGAACGTCAGACACCATGATCACAATTCTATTCTCTCTGAATTAAATACTCTTTTGTGATTTAGCACAAATACTTTTTCCCCACAGGAAAGTGCATTTAAAGCCAAAACACACTTAAAGGAACCTCAGAATATCACATATTTGTGGACTGAGAACTTGTTTTGCTAGAGAAAGAACTGACTTCATCTGTCAGTGCATCATTTAAATGGTTCTTCTGGCTGGTTATGAAATCAACTGAACTTTCAAACATTTTAATGGAAAAGAGAATCGCTTAGTCAACCCTCACCTCCAACCCTCCCAGTCTTCCTGTTGAGCAGTTGATTTATGCAAGGTTTAAGCAACTGGTGGACTGGTGCTTATACCCATGACCACCCTGTCCTTCCCTCAGAATAACTATCATCACGTGTTAATTGTAATTATTTAACTGCCTGCCTGCTTCATCCCACCCCCACTAGAATGTAAACTTCACAGGAAAGGGGCTTTGATTTATCTGACATTATAGCCCCTGATAAGCACATAGTAGGCACTCATTAAATATACGTTGAATGAAGGAATAAGTAAAATGGCCGACTGGCATACTAATAAAGGATCTGTGAACAAAATGTCTTTAGAATAAAAGAAGTAATTGACATCAAATGGGCCATTTAAGCTGGCAAAGGAGGAGGAACTTGCGTGGCGAAGTGTATTTGTAGTGACCTTGAGCATATGGAACCTACATTTTTAGGCTGGGACAGAAAGTTTTAACTCCTGTAAAACAGTAAGTTCAACTTTGTGGGAAAACTTTTGGGGCCACGTGGCAATTCTCTGAAGCGTTTACAAGAAGAAACCTTGACAAAAATGTCCATCCTTGGAAAAGGCTCCATGAGAGGCAAGGCAAAAGAAGAAGAGTTGAGGAAAAGTGGAGAAGCAAAGTACTTTCCACCTCAGTGATGATCTCCATGTTCTGACTGAAGTGATTCCCCCCCCCCCCCCGCCCAGCAAAAGCCTATGCCCGGATGGGACATGCTCTGGAGGAAATCAAAAAGTTCCTCATTCCTGAGTGTAATGATGAAATCAGGCAAGCACAGCGCCAGGAATTAACATATTTGAATGGTGGTCCAGAAAATGCAGATGTACCAGTTGTTACCTTGCGTACAAGAGGGGTACCAACCCCAGCAATAACCAGGGGAAGGGGAGGAGTCACAGCCCAGCCAGTGGGAGTCGGGGTACTGCGAGGGACACCGACTGCCAGGGGAGTCCTTTCCACCCGAGGGCCAGTGAGTCGGGGAAGAGGACTTCTCACTCCCCGAGCAAGAGGAGTCCCCCCAACTGGGTACAGACGTCCACCACCGCCCCCAACACGAGAGACCTGTGGAGATCATGACTGACGATGGATATGGCACTGCTTACGATGAACAGCGTTATGATTCCTCTGATAACAGCCATAGCGCCCCAGCCCGAAGTGGTGCTGATTACTATGCTTACGGACACCGAGTCAGTGAAGAGACGTATGATTCCCAAGGGCCAGAGGAGTGGACTGACTCAAGACACAAGGCACTCTCAGCGAGGACAGCAACGGGTGTCTACAGAGACCAGCCATACAGCAGATACTGACTGTACTGTCTGATGTTGTGACATAGCCAGTCTCCATCAGTCCTGTATACTGTTCAAAGTAATTGTTTTCTATGAGCAATCCCTTTTTAAATAAATCAAAATGCTTAAAATCTGGAGAAAACCAAAAAAAACCGTCTCTGAGAATTCTGTACAATGAAGAAGTGATTCCATTTTACACCACACGTTGTAGATGGCACTATGGACTTTAAAAAGTCTCAACCCAAGGGGACTCTGGGCAGAATGACCCAGCAGAACTTAAATCAGAAAGAAATAAACTCCATGCATTGAAAGCTCCTGGATAGGAAGTCCCCTCAAATCCAGGAAAAGATGGTAAGTAGATACCAGAGCTGAAGGAGGCCCTCTAAATCAGCCCTTCTGTCAGCGGGTGATCAGGGCCCTCCCTCTCTGTGTTCCAGATTCCAAAGTGACAGCGCCACAGGTTAAAAATTCCCTTCCTATTCACAGCGTATTCCAGGTAACAACTGAATTTTTCATCTCTTACTAACCAGCTCGCTGGCTTAAGTGCCCCCCACGCAGTCCTTCCCCACTCGAGGTGAGAGAAGCATGGCGCCTAAGGGACGAGGATCCGAGATTAGGTTGACAGGCCGGCCGGCGACCTTGGCTTTCCGGGGCCCAGGCCAACGCGCGGCGCCTACCCCAGCGCCGCCCTCGCGCGAGGTGAAGGTGGAGGCGGGAGAGGCTCGCCACACCTCGGGGTTTGCAGAGGCTCGGCATCCGGGCCAGGCGCTGGGGAGTGGGGAGGGAGGCACGCCTCTCCCCGGGCGGCCAGGAAGCGGGGACGTGGGAGCCATACGAGCGGCGGGGGACTCACCTGCAGTAACACCGCCAGCAGGAAGCACAGGTACATCTGGTAGATGCCCATCTCGCCCACCGCCTGGAACGCCTCCTCCACCTCCATGGCCGGCCGCGCGCTCGGCCCCGGCCTAGCCGCCAGCGGGAGCCCGGCCCCGACCCGCCCTCCCGCCGCCCCCGCTCCGGCGCGGCCCTCCCCGGCCGGCCCGGCGCGCGAGCTCCACGGCGCCCGGCACCGGCTCGGCGCAGCCAGCGAGGAGTCGGGCGCGGCGTGGGAGCGTGGGCGGGGCGGCGGGAGGTGCGTCTGCGCGGGCGGGGTCGGGGGTCGGGGGTCGGGGGTCGGGGGCCGGGGGGCCGGGGGCCCGGGGCCCGCGCGGGCTTGCGGGTCCGGGGCGGGATGCCAGGTACCCGGGCCCCTGGGCTTCCTGTTAAAGATTTTTTTCTGAGAGAGATGGGTTTCTGCGCCGCTTAAAGCGAGAGGAAAGAGGAAGTGGGAAGTGGGCTCGGGCGTCGGCATCCTCTCTGATGGAGAAATACGGGAAGGGCAGCGGCGTCTAAGCCACAGCCGCTGCTTCGGGGACGGGGGACGCGATGACTGTTGGGAGACCCGGTGACTGCTAGCATAATCTGTACTTTTGTACAAATCAGTTAAATGCGGTAAGTGGGAATGGGTTCTAGATCCTTCGAAGAAGAGTGCTGTTCAACATTTCCTTCCATCCTGCTCTGTGCTAGCTATGTGGTCAGGCAACCAAATTCTTGCAAAACCGTGAGATACATTTGGTTATAGAAATATCCATGAGGTACGAAGGAAATACAAAAGATGAAAGATTAATTTGTGGGACAGGACGTGATGGCTGCCAAAGTGTTTGAAGGATAAACAGCAGTTTGAAGGGCTGGAAATGGAGAAATATGCAGCAGGACCTAGGGACGCTAGTCACTTGCCTTAAGCCTCATTTCTCCACCTCCTTAGATTGATTTTAACAGCTACATAGTATTCCATGGTCGAGGCCACGGCACCCAATACAATATTGAACAGAAGAGGTAACCAGCTAATGCTTTATCTAGCTTTTTACGTCTAAGAGAGTGAGCTAGGTCTATAATTTTCTTGTTACTGTTCTTGTCTGGATTTGGCTGTGAGATTATAGTAGCTTAGTAAAATGAGTTGGAAGTATTTAGTAAAAACTCTTCTTTAAACCATCTGGACTTGGTTTGTTTTGCAGGGGGAGCCTCTTTTTTACAGAGATACAGACATAGAGAGATTTATGTCACTTATTTTTATGGCTTTTTTTTTTTTTTTTTTTTTTTGGTACGCGGGCCTCTCACTGTTGTGGCCTCTCCCGTTGCAAAGCAACAGGCTCCGGACGCACAGGCTCAGCATCCATGGCTCACAGGCCTAGCCGCTCCGCGGCATGTGGGATCTTCCCGGACTGGGGCACGAACCCGTATCCCCTGCATCGGCAGGCGGACTCTCAACCACTGCACCACCAGGGAAGCCCTTTATGGCTTTTTGTTCTTGAATTACTTTTAGTTTTTTTTCTAGAAGTGTTACTATTTTATCTAGTTTTTCTGTTGTTTTTGGAATAAACTTGTTCATCTTGTTCTCTTGGGGTTTTTTAAATCATGCTCTAGCTGTATTTAGGCCCCATTTTTTTATTCTGAATATTATTCATTTTTATTGTCCCATTCTTATCAGTCTTGCCAGAAGCTTGTCTACTTTATTATTTTTTGAAGAAACCAGTTTTTATTTTGTGATTTTTCTTTCTTTATGTCTTTGTTTTCTATTTTATGGAATATATGAACTATTTTCTTTCTTTACTTATTTTTGCTAGTATGTAATTCTTTTACTGCCTACATGACTTGAAAGTTTAGCTTTTTGCTTTCAATTTTCCTTTTATAAGAATAATTATACATAAGACTATGCATTTCTCTCTAGGTACTACTTTGCTCTATTCCACAAGTTTTGTCATGTGGTACTTACATTGTCTTTAGTTTTAAATATTCCATGACATTGTAATGTCCTCTCTACCCAAGGAGCTATTCATTTTTTTTTTAAGTTTTCAATTAAAGGTTGTTGCTATTTTTTAACCATCTTTTTATTGTTGATTACTAATTTAAATGCTTTGTGAACATAGATGATATTAAATCTTGGAACTTGAATTTTCTTGTGACCTAGTATGTGGTCATTTTAGAAAAGTGTACTGAATGTATTGAAAATACTCTCCATTTGTTTGGGTGCAAGGTTCTTTATCTATTAGATCAACCTTGTTAATTTTATCAAAGTAGTCTGTATTACTACTAAATTTTACTTTGCTGGATGTATCAGTTTTTAGTAAACGTGTCAAAATCTTACAAAATGATTATCATTTTCGAGTTTTTATCAAGTTCTCTTTTTATTTGTGAAAGTTTATGAAAGTACCAATTGTATCATTCCTTTTATCGTGATAAAATACCTTTTTTTCTCTTAATGCTTTTTGTCTTAATTTTCATTTTGTCTAATGTTAACATTGCTGTGTCAATTTTTTGTTGTTGTTATTTTCCTTGTAATCCCTTTGTTTTCATCCTTTCAGCTTTGTTACCTTCTAGACATGTTTATGGAAGGAGGGTTTATTTGTCTATCCAATTTTGTAGTCTCTGTCTTTTAACAGGTGAGTTAAACCCACTTATACTCATTGTGAATGATATATTTAGAATCATTTCTACTATTTTGTGTTTTATGTTTACCATCTTCTTTCTTTTTACTTCCTGGCCACCTATTGAAGTCTTAAAGCCATTTTTATATGGTCCTTCTTTCTTTCTTCTGTTTTTGGGAGCTACACATTGCACTATTTTTTGTTTTATGTTTACCATCTTCTTTCTTTTTACTTCCTGGCCATCTATTGAAGTCTTAAAACCATTTTTATATGGTCCTTCTTTCTTCTATTTTTGGGAGCTACACATTGCACTATTATTGTTATTATTGTTGTCATTATTATTATTTTAGTAGTTACTCAACGTTTTAACATCCACATAACTGTACACTGTTCTACAATGTTGATAGTTACTTAATATATTTATTCTCTTTTCAAACTACACGAGATTCCAGAATGCTTTATCGGAGAAAGCATAGGAGGACATAAAATGTTATGTTCTGAAAAGCTTTGTTAGGTGACTCAAGAAGTGACTATTGTGGTGCCAAAACACTGATGAACAAGACTAATGTGAAGTGGTTTAACAAAAAACTTTCACTGTTAAGGAAAATTGTCCTGCACTTGGAAATAATCAGAAAGCAAGAAGAGGACTGTGTGTCCTTTCAATGTTATCATGAAGCATTATTCAACAAGCCCACCCCCAGGATTATTTAATTATTTAATTCAGTAGGAAAATTTACCAGTGTTTGACCTGGCTATTTGCTATGAATTAGAGTCTAGATACTGTGCAGTTACATGTAAATTTGTAGATTTTCTTTTTGGTAGAGATGTAAATGATTATGTTTAATAAGAAAGATAATAATCTATTATTTCATTGCCCCGCAGAACATTAACTTATTTTATATATAATCTAGCAATCTTTTTTTTTTCCTAGAAATAACCAGTTCTTCAAATGCTCTTAGAACCAGCTTTACCATCCTACTGCTTCCTTCATCAATTAAAATAAAATCATTGACATGGGTTCATTCTGTATAGGTAAGAGAGTCATATTTTGAACTTTTGAAATTTTCCTTTGATATTATGCGTGAGAGTGAAAAAATTATACATCCATATTTTATGATATATAGCTAAATAAATGAAGTGTTAAGTAGAAGTTGGGTTATTTCATCTTACTCGCTAAAAGTTTATGTATTTTAAGTGGGTCAGAAACTTTTCTACATATTCTGTGTTAATTCACATTGTGTTGGAACATATATCCTAAAAGCAGTTGGTTATCGTGAGAACAGAAAATACAACCCTGGGAGTGTCAGAAATGAGGTCTGTGAATTGATAGAGTCCAGGTATGCAGTGCTAAGGAGCTTCAACTTTTTCCTGCAGGTGATGGGGACCACTGAAGTGTTTTTTCAGGTTGAGCAGTGTGATTTTCAAAAGATGATTTGGCAGCAGTGGAAAATGCACATAACACCAGTTGAGACACTGTTGTAAGGGCCCAGGCAGGACCCAGTGAGGGTCTGAGAGCTTAAACCAGGACAGTGGTAATAGGGATTGAGAAGTGAAGTCAAATTTAAGGTAAAATCTGCAAAAATTGACAGTGATTCATTTTGCAGAAGCATACGAGAGAGAAATCAGCAATGATTCCTATGTTTCTGGCTTCAACAACTGGGAAAATGGAGGTAGTACTATTTTTTTATATATATAAATTTATTTATTTCATTTATTTATTTTTGGCTGCATTGGGTCTTCCTTGCCTGTGCACGGGCTTTCTCTAGTTGCGGCGAGCGGGGGCTGCTCTTTGTTGAGGTGTGCGGGCTTCTCATTGCGGTGGCTTCTCTTGTTGCAGACTATGGGCTCTAGGCACATGGGCTTCAGTAGTTGTGTCACACGGGCTTCGTAGTTGTGGCTCTTGGGCTCTAGAGCACAGGCTCAGTAGTTGTGGCGCATGGGCTGAGTTGCTTCGCGGCTTGTGGGATCTTCCCGGACCAGGGCTCGAAGCCGTGTCCCCTGCATTGGCAGGCGGATTCCTAACCACTGCACCACCAGGGAAGCCCAGAGGTAGTACTGTTAACTGAGGTAGGGAACACAGAAGGTAGAGTAGGTTGGTAGTGGTAGGTTGAAGGACCTGAGATAGGAATGGCGGGGCCTAGAGGCATTGCTCTTTTAAATGGTCGTTGCCCCTTTAAGATCCTGCCCTTCCCCCCCCCTTAACCCACCCAGGCCCCTGCTGGATTTCCTTGCCCTCATTTACAGTCCGTGCCAGAGCTTCTGAGCATGCGCTGAAGGAAGAGCAGGACTAATTAAAGCTCTCCTGAGGCTCAAGGTATTGCATCTGTGGCTCTTAGCAAAGAGTTCCATTTTGAGAGCATATTTTCCCCATCTGACCATTCTTTACTCATTTTTCTTTTTCTTAAGTCCTTTCCTACTATAATTTTATAGTACCTGTATTTCTTTTAATAACTCAGAAGTAATGAACATCTGGGGTTTTTTTAAATAATAAACAATTAAAATAATGTTTAAAATAGTGTGTCTATCAAATATACACTTGTTGGGATATGAGAGGAAGAAAGGTTAACTTTATCTGGTAAATTACATAAAGCCTTGAAGCAAATATACTCAATTATTGTCATCTTCTTTCTTTTGTTGTAAAACCTCCACACCTAACCACAGTGTCATGCCTTTTGCTTCACTGGTAATTTGGTGTCCCGGAAGGCTACTGAAATTTGGTATGCAAGATAACAGAATTCATGTGTGTTAAGTGTTGTTTCAAATCCTTGGAAATCAGTGTTGTATACCAGCCTAAATGTACCCAGAGTTAGTCTTTTTAAAAAATCTAAAGAACATTTTTCCTTCTGCATAAACCTTTATGCTGAGATAACTCTTTGTTAGTATGTTACAGCAACATGCCTTAATAAAGACAGCCAAAGTCCAAATACCTCTGTCAACATTAAGTTGATATAAACACAGCAAATGTGATGGGAGTGACCAGATCACAAGGAAGCCAGATTTTGAGGACAGATGTCTGGGAGGAAGGAGCAAGAAGACAAAGGGAGGAAAAGCAAAACGATAATGGAATTAGCGGTGAGATGGACGTGTTTCCGTGTTCTGGCCCTCCAAACCAACAACTGTCATTCAAAAACCATCTGTAAGTGGGTGAAAGCATATACTAAATTAGATCTAAATCTGATATGGAGGAATTGGCCATTTCCATGTCTCAAACCTTAGCAATAAAAGAGTATGAATAGAGTTAGGTCTAAAGTTCTGTTTTTAGGTTATAGCAGAAAGAGATGAAATATGAGGGAAATTAGCCATTACTTATGTTTGAATTTAGATCATAGAGTGTTTTGCTTGCTAAGAGTCCAGTTTTACATGCTGTCCCAAGAGGCACTGAGCTTAGAGAATGGGACATTCATTTAATTCAACAGATTCATTCCTGAGTGCCCAACTTTAATGAAAATGTCAGGGTTGTTGCTGTTACTGCCGCTATGCTGCTGCTATTTCTTATACAGGGAAGTTTTACAACTAGGGAATACAGACTGAAATGACGAATTTGCCATACTCATGGACGTCTATCATTTGAGGCTATATAATTCAGTAGGATGGATAAAAATTTGCCAAATGCCCCAAAGTTCCCCAGGATTAAAATCTGGGTGCTATTGGAATTGCCTGAACCACTTGAGTTGGTTAAGTATTGCACAAACATGATGATAACCTGCATATCAAGAGTCTTAACCCCAACTGGGCTTTCTAAATTAAAACCAGCAATTTACATTGCCTTCAGAAAGTAGGAACCCAAAGTAGATTTCAGAGAATCAAGTTTGATCCACTGGATCTACTCAGTCTCAAAAAGGAGAAGTTACCAATCCCGAAACCATTCTGAAAATCGTTATGTATGAGAATTCTTTCAACAAATGCGTCCTGGGCATATTATTCTAGGTGTGAGGAATACAGGGTTAAACCAGCAAAGCCTCTCCTCTCGCTAGTGGCGCTTGCCTTCCAGTGAAGACTTTCTTCTTGGCTGCAGTACTGGATGGGGTGGTAGGGGTTAGAGCGAGGAAGAGGAGGAGGAGTTGTCGACTCTGGAAATTGCACACTTGCTCTACTATCTGATCATGAAATAGGCTCCAAATTAAAACATAACAATGTGGCTAAGTAGATTAGAAAGAAGAATGGTATCCATTATGTCTTCTTCAGTCTGAAGGCTCTTGTCCCTATGTTTATCTGCCTTAAGAAGAATTAGCCAGATCTTGTTATCTCCCTATAGTAGTGAGAGTCACTTAGCAGAAAGTTAGATGAGTGCACAAATTCACATGAATTTTCAGAACCAAGTTAATCCTTAATTTACTGGCATCCAGCTATTTGAGCCTGAAGATCATATTGCATCTTAAATGATATAAACTCATCTTCATCGGTTTTCATATGAATGAGAAGAGTATATTATTCTCAGCCAAACAGCAAATCAAATCCTCCTGTCAATTATCTGTTTCAGTGCAAGATTTTGGATAGTCTCAGTTTTATTTGCCCCTCCTACCAGGCCTGAGATTCTTCTTTCACCTTTGTCTAATAAAGACATTTTTAATTGCATTATAGTTGATTTACAATCTTATGTTAGTTTCAGGTGTACAGCAAAATGATTTAGTTTTACATATATATGTATATATATATGTATACTTTTTCAGATTATTTTCTACTATAGGTTATTACAAGATATTGAATATAGTTCCCTGGGCTATACAGTAGGTCATTGTTGTTTATCTATTTTATATTTAGTAGTTTGTATCAGCTAATCCCAAACTCCTAATGTATCCCTCCCCAACTCCTTTTCTACTTTGGTAACCATATATTTGTTTTCTATGTCTGTGAGTCTTATTCTGTTTTGTAAATAAGTTCATTTGTGTCGTATTTTAGATTCCACATATAAGCAATATCATATGGTATTTGTCTTTCTCTGCCTGACTTCTTAGTATGATAGGTCCATCCATGTTGCTGCAAATGGCAGTATTTCATTCATTTTCCTTCACCTTTTTTTGTCACAGGACGTTGTGCAAACCCAATGAAGTTAATGTTTTTTTTAAAAAAAAAATATTTTATTTATTTATTTTTGGTTGCAGTGGGTCTTCGTTGCTGCGTGTGGGCTTTCTCTAGTTGCGGCAAGCGGGGGCTACTCTTCATTGCAGTGCGCAAGCTTCTCATTGCAGTGGCTTCTCTTGTTGCGGAGCACGGGCTCTAGGCATGCAGGCTTCAGTAGTTGTGGCATGCAGGCTCAGTAGTTGTGGCTCATGGGCTCTAGAGCACAGGCTCAGTAGTTGTGGAGCACAGGCTTAGTTGCTCCACATCGTGTGGGATCTTCCCTGACCAGGGCTCGAACCTGTGTCCCCTGCATTGGCAGGCGGATTCTTAACCACTGCACCACCAGGAAGCCCGAAGTTAATGGTTTTTCCTCAGGACAATGAGGGTACTGGAGAGGGTGCACTCATACACACACACATTTTGAATGCCATTTTTTAGAAATCACTGAGCCCACCCCCCCACATTATAAAAATGTTAAATTTAGGCTATGGGAGGTTAGATAATAGGTTTAAGATGATTCAGGGACATACTGCAAGCCACATAATTAGTTAGCACAGCAGCAGCTAAAACCAAGTTCTCAAAAGTTTGTGAGTTGTTTTTTGTTTTTGTTTTGTTTTGTTTGTTTGTTTTTACTAACAGATTCCACTCTCTGGTACAGGCCCCATCTCTGAACCATTTTTTCTTATCTGGAAATATTAATATAGAACAATATTATCTTTGTAACACATTTACACTCTGATTCCTTTGTAAACAGAGTAAATGTCCCCAGATCCACGATTTTAAGGTTGGGACTTTAGCTCAATAGGGGCCCTCCCTCCCTAATAACTCAGCAACATGACTGCAATCGCAAACACGTGCTGAAGGCTTTCTCATCTGTTGTGTTTGAAGCCAGAGAATGGAATAGCTCTGTAGCTTTCCTTTGTGGATTATTCCTTACTCAACAGCCATTCTGCTTTTGACCTGAAAAACTGGGCCACAGAGATCTTGCACCATCAGGCTTCTTTCTTATTGGGCTGTGAAAGTCTAACATATGGCTAATTACAATTTACACCTCCTTAAGTGCTCCAACAATCCGCTAAAGGATGTTTTGTCTCTTTGGTTTAGTGTTCAGAGCACTTTTTGCAGACAAAGCAGTAAACAGTTCCTTTGGAGGTGCTTAAAGGTGATGATGGAAGATGATGATCTTCTGTCTGGGTTCTTAATGATGTATTCTCGGCCTGGTCTGTTATATGACGGTGTTCCTAATGATGTGTCATTGCCATTTACAGCATCCTGGTGACCAGCTTGCCTTTTCCTCAGCATCTTCTTCCCATGGTCAAGACATGAGACAGGTCCATTGAGGATAAAATGAAGAACTAAAGTAAGTGAAAGAAGATGAGATTTTAGGAGCAAAATGTCTATGGCATAAAATAAATATAACTAATAAAAATATTTGATCAAAGATACCGAGTCATTTTGTGTTTATGTTTTTATTTTTGTCATTGCTCTTTTCAGCCGTGTATGTGTTTATGAGATAAATACATGCTCTGTTGCAAGGAGATGGGTGCTTCTTGAAATAACATATAATGGAAAGTTATTGCTTCAGACTAAAAATTTAGTTTTAGTTTGTTGGATGTCAAAATACAAGCTGATAACGAGAAATCACTTAAGCAGAGAAGTTTTCTATTCAGTGAAGTGGTTTGCACAGGGAGAAGATGTGCTGATGGAGATGTTTTATTTGAAGCTGGATATAGAAGGTAAGGATGGATTTGGTCCTGGGGCTCTCTTCTGGCCCTGCCAACATGTGACCAGCAGCACCAAATATAAGCATGACAGCTTGGTGCAGTCAACTGAGACCCACATTTCTATTTTCCTTCATCCAGGGAATAGCTAAAAACATGACTTCTAATTCCCTTACTGGCATGGGGCTGTGCAGAAATAAATAAGTTTTCAGTTAAATGAGTGTAAATAAAAATATGTCCTATCATTTATAATTTTAAAGTTTAAGGTTTCTAGTAATGCTTTAGAACTAAAGTGATCTATGAACTAAAATAATGTGAGCTCCCATGAGTTCTTGACCGTATGAACAATCTTGGAAAAGCTGATAATATGGGAGATTTCAAATTTGAAAATTCAGCTTTGAGATCAATGTTTATGGTATGAATATCCTTAGGGGAAACCTATACCTCCTTAATGGGGATGCAGAGCTAGGTGAGAAGATCTGGTCTTTCTCCTGTTACCTTAAATTGCTGATGTGCCCAAGACTCAACATAGCTCTGATAAAGATGCTCACAAATATACCAGATGAGCTCCTGAACTTTAATGTTTTCCTTTTAAGTAATATTTCTTTTAACTTTAAGTATACCTTTGAAAGTACTCTTAAAGCTCCCAAAGGATGGTTAAAGGAGAATATAGCCAGCATTTATGAGAGTTCTGCCACAATAAGGCTCAGGACTGTTAGACCTTAGGTCAGAGGGACCAATAGGCAGGTGGACCCGAGACGCCAGCCTGTTCAGGAGAACACACAACCTGGTCATCCCTGCAGCTCTAGTCTGTTCTGTGCTCATCTGCTCTGTGCTCAGAGACCAGGAAGTCTTGCACTTTCTACAAACAATGTCAATTCAGGGCAAAAGTGCATCTGGAATTCTATCACAATCACACCTGCCTCCCTCCTTCCCCAGCACCTATCAAGGTCACTTTAAACTTTCTTTAAAAATTACATATGATATGCTCCCCAAGGCAATTTTAAAATACTTTCATACAAGGAAACAAAAGTACAAAGTTATAGAAAAATAAAATCTTTTGCAAAAAAGAGGCTGCAGGGCAGGTTATAGTTTTTTTTGGTGGGGCGGTGGTGCTTACTGAAAAAGAAATATGATTGCTTATATTTTCTTTTTTATATCTTCACTTCTCATTGTAGTCATATTTTCCCCAATACATGGCCATATTTCTAATAACTATTTTGAAGTCTTTGTCTGCTAATCTGCTCATTCTCTTATCTCTTCCTTTCTGGGTTTGTTTCTATTGATTGATTTTTCTCCTGGTTATAAGTCCCAATTCCTTGCTTCTTATATATAGTGATTTTTAATTTGGGAGGAGGTTTTAAAAATGGAAGTATAGTTGATTTACAATGTTTCAGGTGTACAGCAAAGTGATTCAGTTATATGTATATATGTTATATATATATATATACTCTTTTTCATATTATTTTCAACTATAGGTTATTATAAGATATTGGCTATAGTTCCCTGTGCTATACAGTAGGTCCTTGTTGTTTATCTATTTTATATATAGCAGTGTGTATCTGTTAATCCCAAATTCCCAGTTTATCTCTCCCCACCCCTTTCCCTTTTGGTAATGATGAGTTTGTTTTCTATGTCTGTGAGTCTATTTCTGTTTTGTAAATAAGTTCATTTGTATCATTTTTTTTAGATTTCACATATAAGTGATATCATATGGTATTTGTCTTTGTCTGATTTACTTCACTTAGTATAATAATGGCTAGGTCCATGCATGTTGCTGCAAATCGCATTATTTCATTCATTTTTATGGCTGAGTAGTATTCCACTATATATATATTCTATTATATATATATTCCATTATATATATAGATACACATATATACCACTTGTTCTTTATCCAGTCATCTGTTGATGGACACTTAAGTTGCTTCCACGTCTTGGCAATTGTAAACAGTGCTGCTGTGAACATTGGGGTGCGTGTAAATGATTTTTTATTGGATTCTATAAATTGTGAAGTTTTGTTATTGACCACTGGATGTTGCTGTCTTAGTTAAAGCTTGTTAGCCTTTGTCCTAGCAGGCAGTTTATTTATTTGTGCATTAGCTTGACCTTTTGAAGCTTTTTCTTAAGCTTTGTTGGAGTGGGTTTGGAGCAGCCCCTACTGCAGGGCTAATTTAGGCCTCCTGCAAGGGCATGACTCTTCTGAAGTGTCTAGTGACTGCCCCACATGTTCATGGTAGACTCTTCACACCAATTTGGCTTTTGCTTTTTTCATACCCTAGAATCGCTCTTTCTGGGATCACCAAGGACTTTTTAGTCCAGAGGATACTTTTCAGTTTTCATCTTACTTGACTGAACAACAGTAGCATTTAATATTGTTCACCACTCCCACCTTTAAAGACTTTCTTCTTGAGACTTTTGTTTCATGCCATTCTTGTTTTCCTCTTACCTCCATGGATATTTTGCCAGTTCTCCTTCTGCCCAATCTTTGAATATTCCTCAGGCTTTTTCCAAAGCCCTCTTCTTATTTTACTCCACACTCTTTCTCTTTCTCCAGGGGATCTCATGGTGTCTCAAAGCTTCCACTACCTTCTATTTTACACTGAAAAAACCGTGTGTGTGTGTGTGTGTGTGTATTTTCTCAACCCCAGATGTTTTCCAAGCTTCAGACTCCCCCATTACCAATCACTTCTTCAATATCTCATCTTGAATATTTCAAACACATCATGTTCTAAAGTGACCACATGATTCCAGCCCACTGCCCTGCACCTGCTCCTCTCCCAAGTTTCCTGTCTCGTTGAAAGGTACCATCCAGTTTCTAATGCAAAAAAATCTACAAGTCATTCTTGAAGCTTCGCTCTCAGTGTATATGAATCATTAAATACATTTTTTTTCCTTCTAAATATCTCTTGAACCTGTCCCCGAGATCCAACAAGAAACTATTGGTCCTACATACCAAGCATGATTCTAGAGCAGAAGAGAGATATGTGACCAAGGATGTGTCAGTGGGTTTCAGAGTAGAACACAATCAAGGAGACAAGATTGCTCCCCCGACACCCACTTTGTACAAGATCTCAGCATACCTTCTTCCCCAAATTCAGATACATACCAAGGAAGAAGTGGAAAAACACCCCCCCCCCCGCAAATTGACCGAAGTCGAATTTACAAATTCCAGAAGAATATGGCTTGAGACTGAAATTAATTTCACTTATATAAAAAATAATACTCTACTTCTTTGCAAAGGCATAAAAATCATACTCAATATCTGACCAACATAATTGATAAAGACTTGATATTTAATCTAAATTGTAAATAAATGTAAATGCAAAGATTAAGTAGGCTCTGCAATTAGGAAATCTTCATCCTCATCCAAGCCACCATCATTTCCTGCCTGAAAGCCAGCAATCGCCTTCTGAATGTTCTTTCACTTTCACTCTTATTTACCTCCAATCCCATTCTCTACACCAAAACATGGGTGATCTTTTTGAAATGCAAACTTGAGCCTATAACTCTTCTGCTTATGACCCATTAACAGCTTCTCTTTGTTTTTAGAGTAGAGTCCAAATTCATTTACCAGGGCCTCCAAGGTTACCCATGCAGTCCTCTCTCTTCCATCCTCACTTTCAATCTCTACACACTGGACTTCTCTCAGCTCTTGTAGTGTCCTAATTCCATAGGACTCCAGACAGACCAGGAGTACTCCTCTTCAGTTCCTCGCTACACACACACTGACCTGGCCAACTCCTATTCATCCTTCAGTTTCCTGTTTAAGTGCCACTTCCTCCCCGAAGCCCTCTTCCTTTGCCCAGATCAGTCTGGGGCCTGCTGTGAGCCACTCTCATTTGCTCCCTACGATTTTCCCTCATAGCACTTTACTACCACTGTGCTCCGTGAGAGCAGGACCAGGCTCTCTCCTATCCTTCATATCCGTGTAGTACCCCAAACGGGGCTGTCTGGCACAAGAGGACATGCGGTAAATGTTGAATCAAAGAAAGGAGTCCAGGAAACTAATTCCCACCAAAGTGTTAACTGATAATGGTTTAAAATGCTTCCTGGAGGGTGGAAGATATTCAGATAAAATTTCCAAACTTAAAGGAATGCATCTCTACTGGTAAGGCTTCAGTTACTGGCATATTTCTTAGCTAGAGGCTTTCCAGCTCCTGATACTTCCAGGCTGTTCACCAGGAGAAAAGGGACCAGCAATGTCTGCCATTACCCTTGAATCTCTAGGTCATCTGTCCCCTGCCTACCTAACTTCATTTGTGCTCTTGTCCTCCCTTCCTGCTGTGCTCTGCCCAAATGGGTTTGTTTGCATCTCTGACACACACTAAGCTCTTGCCCCACCTGGGTCCTTGGGTGCTGTCTCTCCATGTGGGATGCTCTCTTCCCCCCACCCTGCTCTTTACAAGACAAATGCCATTTCCTAAGACAGGCCAGCTCTGTTATTCCCTGGCACTGTACTCTCTTTGTCTCTGTCACAGCATTTAACCACACTTGGTCCTTTTATGTATTTATGTTTACTTGCTGTAGTCCATCTCCTTTACTAATCTGTAAATGAAGGCAGGGACCACATCTACCTTGTTCCCTGCTGTTCTGCCAGGATCTAACATAGTGCCTAGGGCTTAGTTGGTACTCAATAAGAATTTGCTGAATAAATGAATTAATATTTATTATAAACCATGAGCTGGTAGTTACATTTATTATTGTACCATAGATGATTTCAAAAGGAAAATTGGAATGTTTCTGTTAACATTATAGAGGTTTGGCAAGTCAGACACAAAAGTACATCTGAAGTTGCATCTGGATGGGTTGCTAATCTTGGGGTGGAGGATATTGGGAGAGGGAGGGCAAGGAAGGACAAGGGGATGGAGAATCCAAGGCTAGAGAGTGGGATAAAAGCTAAGGAAAGAAGGGCAAATGCCATTTAGAGCACTTTACCCTTGATCTGTGTTCTCCCAAGACCTTTATCTTAGAAATTTCTATTTTCCATGCTTTAAGCCTATAAAAACTAATGTGATTGAAGGGAAAAAAATTCAGCCTCTAGGTTAATTTTGTGAAGTCACTGGGGTCCTGTATTAGGGTCCTACTGCTGCCATTACACATTGCCACAAATGTAGTGACTGAATACAATAGAAGTTTACTCTCTTACAGTTCTGGAGGCCATAGTCTGCAATGAGTCTAATGGTACTAAAATCAAGGTGTCAGCAGGGCTTGTTCCTTCTTGAGGCTCCAGGGGAGAATCTATTCCCTGCCCCTTCCAACTTCTGGCGGCTGCTGACATTCCCTGGCTTGTGTTACATCACTCAGGTCTCTGCTTCGTGGTCTGTAGTCTTCGTGCCTTCTCTTCTGTAGTCAAATATCCCTCTACTTTTCTCTTGTAAGGACACTTGTGACTACATTTAGGGCCTCCCTGGATAATCCAGGATAATCTCCCTCTGTCAGGATCCTTCCTTAATCACACCTGCAAAGTCCCTTTGGCAATATAAGGTCACATTTCCAGCCTCCAGGGATTAGGATGTTTGTATCTTTGAGGGCCATTACTCAGCCTATCATGGGTCCATTTCAAATTTGAATGTCTATCATATTGTTTTTTTAAAAAAGCAAGAGCTGGGCTTCCCTGGTGGCACAGTGGTTGAGAGTCCACCTGCCGGTGCAGGGGACACGGGTTCGTGCCCCGGTCCGGGAAGATCCCACATGCCGTGGAGCGGCTGGGCCCATGAGCCATGGCCGCTGAGCCTGCGCGTCCGGAGCCTGTGTTCCACAACGGGAGAGGCCACAACAGTGAGAGCCCCGCATACCTGGGGGGGCGGGGGGAAGCAAGTGCTTTGCAAGTGCTTTATTTGTTTGTTTTGGGTTTGGTTTATTTTTAGAACTCTAACACGCTCTTCATAATTGTTCTTTTCTTCAGAGCTCTAGCAATTTTCAGTGTTAACCAAACTTCAGCTCTAAATGTAGTGCCTCTCATTTCTCACAGACCAAAACTTCGCTTTTATAAAAAAGAGAAAGTATATCCTAAACCAACAAAACACTTCAGTTTTGTTTTATGTCAGGCATTTCTTTTGAAAGGCATCTCCCGTGAGACTAAAATATTTATCTGATTTAAGGTTTGTTTTAGAGATGACAAAAAATAAAACTTCCAGAGATTTCTGTCAGGCAAAGTCCTGAGCAACATAGGTTTTAGTATGTTTCTGCTTTTAACAGATCTAATACCACCTACTTAGAAAGTAGAAATTCACTGTAGGGAGTTTTTTGCTTTTTTGCTTTGACACCACAGAAGCGGTACTTGAAAATCAACTTAAATGGAATTTGCCCTTTAGACTGTTATCTCATAACCCTGAAAACCTGCTAAATGGCATATCCTCAGGTTAAGTCAGGTTTCTGATGCAAATGATTTTAATGACCACTCCCTGAAGGCACATAATTTGAGAGCCTGAGTGAACAGCCTGGAGCTGCTCTTTGATGGAGACCTTAGTTTCGGGCCAGGACCATGCAGGGAGGAAGCTATTCCTGGAAAGAACCCCAGCCTTCTCAGCTCAGTTGCCATGGACATGAATTAGTTACTTCCAGCCCGGTGCTGTCCAAATAGAAATATAACACAAGCATTATATTTAAATACATAATTAACATTTTTCTAGTAGGCACGTTAAAAACAGCAAAAAGAATAAGTGAAATTAATTTTAATGATACACTTTACTTAGCCCAATATATCCAAAATGTTATTTCAACACGAATCAATAAAATAAATAATTATTGAGAGATTTTACATTCTTCTAAAATTTTTTTCGTATTAAATCTTGATTCTGGTGTATATTTTGCACCTCCAGCGCATCTCAGTTTGGACCAGCCCCATTTCGAGTGCTCAGAAGCCAGTGTGGCTAGCAGCTACTGTGTGGGTTACATAGCCTGTTTGGATGACTAACAAAACTTTACTTAGTCAATGGTGGTTCTTCGCCATCACAGATGCACGCTTTTACTTCTTTATATACTTTCTGGTTTTGTTGTATTTTTGCTTATTAGTTTTCTTGTAAGCTGTAAATCTTTGTTTTTATAGGATTTTTTAAAATCTTTGTTTCTCTTCAATGGGAAACAAGAACTTTCTCTTAAGGGATGAGAGTTGGAGGATAATCCGTGTACTAAAAATGAGATAAAATGATTTTTATTCCCCACAGATGCTCTCTGAGCCCTTCAAAAAGATCTCCTCCAAGTCCATGGCTGGAAAGGCGCACATGGGAAGATGGTGATGGAACCATATCACAGCTGCCCTAGCAAGGCCCACATGCCTTCCAGGACAGAAATAACACCTTCTCAACACAAGGTCAGGGACAGATTTTGGAATAAACTTGTTTTCTTATATCTGGGATTCCTCAGTCTCTGCCTAAGGAGAGTCTTGAACTGAGATCAGAACACCTGGCTTTCTTAGCTACTTGGGAGACCTTGGATAACTTATTTAAATTCTCTGTGCCTCAGGGCACTCATCAGTAAAATGATGAAGTCAGAATAGATCAGTGGTTTTCTAATACTAAGCAGTGAACTCTTTTTCCAAACAAAACTTTACAAATCCGGATACATTAAACAGATCCAAGTGGAGCTGCTCTGATTGCAGTCAGGGCAGGGAGTTGTAGGAGATGGGGGAACAAACAGGAGCAGGGCAGACCAGGGCCCCAGTGCCTCAACCTTCCTTTTGTATCTGAGGCACAGTTTGAAAACCTGAATAGATGGTCTCCACTGTAGCTTTCAGCATTAAATGTTCTAATTCTCTGTTATTCTCCATTGTACTCTATCAGCCACTGCTCTCAATAAACAAGCTATAGACCAAGAACAAAGTAGGTGGAAAATCATTCCCAGGAGGTTCAAGGCTGGCTTAGGGCTTGCATATGTTCTACATACTTTTCCTTTGGAGCCCCACTACCCTCCCCCATACCATACCAAACATGTAATTTTCTTTTGGTATTTGAGAGACAATTTTTTTTCAGATCTCAAACATTTCTGAAAGTCCTTTAAAAACTCAGAGTCTCGGGGGCTTCCCTGGTGGCGCAGTGGTTGAGAGTCCGCCTGCCGATACAGGGGACACGGGTTCGTGCCCCGGTCCGGGAAGATCCCACATGCCGCGGAGCGGCTGGGCCCGTGAGCCATGGCCGCTGAGCCTGCGCGTCCAGAGCCTGTGCTCCGCAACGGGAGAGGTCACAACAGTGAGAGGCCCGCGTACCATAAAAAAAAATATATATATATATATGATCTGAACCTATTTCAGGGTATGTGACCATTGACATAATAAATAATGTCTGACTTTGATATTACTGAAAAAAATACCTAATTTTAGAACAAATAATATAATTATTAGACAATGAACTTGTTTTGTTTTTCTAATCTGACTGCCTGTTAGAAATATTATTGTTTAAGTGTAGGCAACATTTTATTTTGTGGCATTATCAGAGAATGAGGTACTCTACTTGAACAAAAAGCAAATTAACCCTTTTGCTTAATTAACCCTTTTCTTAAACCCATATAGATCCTGCATTTAACTAAGCCCTGTGGTGCTTTCTTGGTATTTTTACTGAAGGCCACTTCCTTTAAAGCAGTCACTGCTTGATGATCACAGGTGAGGCATGGGAGGAAGTTTCCTTTTCCTGACAAGATGGCAAACTTTGTTTTGTCCCTCAATCTCAGCTCTAGGTATGCCAAAGAAGTGAAAGAGAGGTTAATGAACTGGCCAAACTATACAAACAAACAATAAAATCAAGAGAGAAACAAAACAAAATAAGAGAAAAAAAATCATCATAAGCAAACGTCTTAATAATTTAGGGAAATAACTGGAAGAATAAAAATAGAATGTGTAACTTTTGGACTCATTATTATGTTCTCCATCTCTGCTGAAATTCCCTCATGCTTCTTGTCCTCCTTTTCCATTAGCTCCTTCAGCATATGCATCATAGTTATTTAAAGTCCCTGGTCTGATCATTTGAATATCTGGATCAGATTCTTTGATTGCTTTATGTCTTGGCACTGTTTTCCTTACCCTTGATTTTTGTATGTCCTATAAGTTTTTTTCTTTTTAGTTCTACGACTTTTTTTAAATTAAAAAGAAATTTTAAGACAGTTTTTTAAAGTTACTTTCCATTTACAGTCATTACAAAATATTGGCTATTACAAAATATTGGCTATATTCTCCATGTTGTACAATACATCCTTGAGCCTATCTTACACCCAACAGTTGGTACGTCTCACTCCCCCACCCCTATATTGCCCCTCCCTCCCTACTGGTAACCACTAGTTTGTTCTCTATATCTGTGAGTCTGCTTCTTTTATGTAATATTCACTAGTTTGTTATATTTGTTAGATTTTACATATCAGTGATATCATACAGTATTTGTCTTTCTCTGTTTGATGTATGTCCTATAATATTTTACTGAATGCTGGACATTGTGTGTGGAAGAAAGTTGAGACTGAGATAAATAGTGTTTATGTCCAGAAATAGGTAAACTTCTTTTTGTGACAGGCCATAGATATAGAGGGCTAAGTCAGTCCAGTCAGGAGTTGAGCTGAGTGTACCACAGGGTTTCTGTCCAATAAAGAAAATCTAGGGGCTTCCCTGGTGGCGCAGTGGTTCAGAATCTGCCTGCCAATGCAGGGGACATGGGTTCGAGCCCTGGTCCGGGAAGATCCCACATGCCACGGAGCAACTAAGCCTGAGCGCCACAACTACTGAGCCTGTGCTCTAGAGCCCGTGAGCCACAACTACTGAGCACACGTGCTGCAACTACTGAAGCCCACGTGCCTACAGCCCCTGCTCCACAACAAAGAGGGGCCCCCACTCGCCGCAACTAGAGAAAGCCCGTGCGCATCAACGAAGACCCAACACAGCCAAAAGTAAATAAATAAAATAAATAAATTTTTTAAAAAAGAAAATCTAAACATAGGTAATAAAAAAGTGATGACTTGACAGAAGATATTTCCAATACCCAAAATTAGCAAGTGCTACATATCTAAAATATATAAGAAACAACTTCAAACCAACAACAACAAAAAGACAGGATGCCCAATAGAAAAACAGTCAAAATATATATATAGATAATTCTCAGAAAAGACATAGGAACAGCTAACAAGTACATGCTCAGTCTCACTCTCCACAGAAATGAAAATTTAAATACTATTTTTGCCAATCAGATTGGCAAACATTTTAAAAATCTGATGACACTGGGTGTTGGCAAAGGTGTGGGGAAACAGAGGAGCCCTCGTGTGCTGCCAGCAGACGTGTAAACGTGTGAGCAGTTGACCAGCATTCAGTGAATTTAGGTAAGTAACCCCATCGTGGTTGTATGTCTCTGGGAAACGAGCTCTTGCACAAGACTAAAGGAGAACGTTGCCCGGCATGTATTAGGCACTCAATAAATGTATATTGAGTGAAAGTCTGAAAGTATTCATCACAACATTGCCTTTGGTAAGTGGAGTTGAGGCAACCCGATCATCCATTATTAGAAGTACAGGAAAGTAAAATGTATACGAAAGATGCATTTGACAATACAGTAGCTAACATTGGTCAAATTATTGCAGCGTGCCAGGCAGTCTTTTAAGTGCTCCATGTGTATTAACATAATTGCCCTCATAACAATGCTGTCAGGTATTTATTTCACACCGAAGAGATTAAGTCAGATTAAGCAGGAGATCATGCAAACAATAAGAGGAAGACCTGGGTTGGAACCCAGACATCTGGCCCTAGCAGCCAAGCACTGAGCCACCTGTGACCAAGGGCTGCCTGCCTTCTGTCCTGGGTGTCTCTACTGGAGACCTGCCCTGTGGTGGGACCATTCCCACCTTCCCAACCAGCCCTTTCTGTCACGGGCCCTCTGTCCCTCTTTAAGGGGAGACTGTTTCCTGTCCAGTATATAACTAAGCTCCGAATGCTTCTTCCCCTATACGGTTAGTGAAAATGTATCCTCCCAGGCCTTTCGAATCTTTTAAGCCCTGTCATGAGGAGCTGGGAACTCAGGCAGCCTCTTTCCTAGTCTTGAGGTTCATTTTCAAATAACCTGAGACAATATGGTGATTCCCTCCTCCAAGTCCCTTTCCCCTGGGATGCAGGCCCATGCAGTCCTAACAGGGTCTTTCAGAGATACTATTTGTGTATCTTTGTGTATTGCCAAGAGGCTTTAGACATGTCAGTGTTAATCATCACACTGGGCTGTGAGGTAGGGAATCCCTCAGAGGCAACTTAGGTCCGAGGGCTGTTTTTATCTACACAAAAGGACCCTAGGCTACCAAACTTTGGAATTTTGTCTTATTTTTATTAAATGTTCTATTTTTCTTTATGTATTTAGCATCTCTTTTAGCCCTGTCTCTTTTATCCCTTGTCAGTGAGTTTCCCCCTTTGTAGGTGATCAGGTGACCCGGCTTGAATTTTGCCTAAAGAAGAGGTCATTAGGTCCTGAGCCAAACACTGAAGGGTTGTGTGTCTGAGCTCTACGGAAGTTATTTTCAGGTTCAAGTTCAAACATTTGTTGAGTCATTAAGTGCCACACACTATATCCCGCATTGTGCTATGTTTCTTACTTCATCCTCATGACCACACTGTGAGCTGGGGAAAAACGTCCCCATTATGCAGACACTGAAGTTCAGGGAGAGGAAGGGCCCTGCCAAGGGTCAAACAATTAAAAGCTTGCAGAGCTGGGATTCAGCCCAGGTCTTTTGGCACAACTACCTCTATTTTTTTGTTGTTGTTGCTGATTTCCATGCTCTAAATTGCCAGTTAATTAACCTCTACATAAATGGTACATTTTTGTATTCAATTTCCTTTTTTTTTTTTCCTAAAAATAAGTTGCCTGTAATTTGAAACACTCCCTTACTTTAAAATATTCAGTGGTCTAGTGGAGATGAATTAGCAAATGGAAATTTCCTACAAGGAAAAATATCACTTTATAACCTGAAACGCAATTCAGTTCTTTGCAAGCGAAGCTCTGTTTCCACCAGCCTGGCTGTTCTGTCAGGAGGAGGAGTCCCCTTTGCTTGGAGCACGTTTGTTTATTGATTTAGCAAACACATGGTGCATTATGTACTAGGCACCATCCTGGACCTTTCGTAGATATTAACTCACTCAGTCCTACAGTTGAAACTAATAACACCATCCACATCTTACAGATGAGGAGACCGAGGTTCAGAGAGTTCTATCTATTTGTAAGTGGCACAGGCAAGACCTGAACCATAGAAGTTTGTGTCTAGAGTCCAGGGGCGTAAGCACTGCACCACGGTCCTTCTTTGCTAACTCACGTTCCGTGCTTTGCCAAGCAGAGTAGAACAACAGCATGTAGAAGGCAAGAGAACTCAGGGAGGAGCCCTGGGGACCCGTCTGTGTGGATGGTTGAAGGAGCTTTGAAAGCCAAACAGCCTAAGGTGACTATCCTCAGTGCCTCCATCAGCTGTGCTGTTCCCGGGGATCATGACTGTGGGCTCAGAAAGGGAGAAGGGGCCCTCAGTCTTTGTTAACTGACACTGCTCTGGCCTGAAGCAAATTAGTGTGAAGGAGAAACGTGGTAGTCTTTTAGGTAACCTATAGCAAAATGACTGCCCCCTCTGGCTTTTCTCACTCAAACCACCTGCCTGGCATTTTACAGGAAGGATCCAGGTGTTTAGAACACCTTAGACTTAGGTAGAGCAGGTTGTTGAATCAGAAAAAAATATATCTTTTGTAACGAAGTGGATTGATGTGTTTATTTGGTTCATAGTCATGAAATGGAAGGAGGAAAGAAAGAATTTCATTTTGCCTCTGGTTTTACAGTTTATAGGATGAAATACACTCTCAATTCTGCCTTTATCCACAGAGGGGAGCAGAGAGGTGATAAAAGCCCAGGTCCCAGCACAACGTAGTCAAGTTCTACCATTCAGAGTCTGGTTCTTATGTTTGTGGAATATCCTGACTTCTTGCTTCCCATTTCACTTTTCTCTTAGTTCCAGCATTTGGATTAGTTAGGTCACAAGAGGAAGAATGGGATAAAACTAAAAAGGTGAAGGACCAATTGGTTCACAAGTTTCCTTTTTAAAGGTTGATGAGAAGGA